TTTGCATTCCCAGAGTCGCTCAGAAAAAAAAATGTTCTCAGTTTTGTGCTCCCTGCACGTGTCTCTATGAAATGAAAAAAAAACCGTTTCGAAAAAGCGCTCCATGTCCTGGAAAGCTTTCCTGGTTAGACCGTTCGCCGCGGCTACATAGCAAAAAAAATCGTGAAAAGTCGGTGACCGTAAACGGAGAGTTATCTCACTTCCGATAGCCCTGGCCTGGTACCACCGGATAACCATTTGCTCCGCTCTCCGTTTCCTATCTCTCCTCTTCAGGGAGAAACCTTACATTAACTAAGACGATGTCAAAAAAGACATCCAAACTTTGTTAGATCAAAAGGCTATGGTGTTACATAAAAGGGAGTGGATCTATTAGTTCCGCATTGGCAATGACTTGCAGATAAAGGTTATGCCTAGTGCTTCGAACAAATGTGCCAGAGAAATAACAAAAAAATAATAGGAGGAACAGCGGAGGTTGCCCATGAATCATGGACCAACCCAGTGACAGCAATCTGGTAGTTACTATGCTTTATGCGAATAAGTAAACACACAAGTTCATGTCTGAAGCTAACCTTCAAATAGTCACCTTCCATCCACATGTACTTGTCCGCTGTACGAAGTGGTGTTGCCTCTACAATGGGACGCCGGATTTCGACTATCTAAACATGAACGATTACCCAAAATATGTGAAGGGATTATCTTAGGTAGCTAGAAGCTTACGTCACTGGTGCCTGCTGCATCATCCATGTCTTTTGCTACTTTCAGCAGGAGTTCCTTTGCTTTCTCATTTTCCTGGTCGACCTTCTGGAAAATTCGTATTGAAGCATCTCTTTTTGCATCGGTTCACCTTGCTATCAACACTTAGTGCCCATGTGGACTTCAAGCATAGTCGAACTTCAACAATGAAAAAGTTGCTAATAGACCTGTAAATCAGTAATTGAGCGCTCCAGTCTCTCCAGTTTTCTCTCAATCAACTGCATCCCCTCGTCAGGTCTAGCACGAAGTGTAGGACACAGCGCTGACCACGAGCTTTCACCAATCCGGCGTAACCAACGCTCGAACGTTGAGGTAGTTTCAACCTAAAACACTTGCTCAATATACTTAAAGAGGAATTGGTTCACACACTTGACTAATCGCAGGTCTACACACCTTTCCTGTTGCCTTTGCGACAGCTTCTCGTGTTCCCCAATTGATGACGTTCAGATTTATAAGTGAATATAATGTCAAGAAGACATACGTAGACGGAATCATCAGGAAGAACACAATGCCTTCAAGAATAGATACAGACCTTTGAAGAACTACAACAACTTATCTTCTTTACCATATATAATGTTGACGAATTCTTTTGGATGCAGACAAGCGGCGATAAAGAATATTAGAACCATAGCCACAATAAACATCGATGTTGGAGAGATCACAGCTGAAATGAAAACAATAATAAAATGAAAAGGAATAGATCAAAACCCAAAAGAACAATTTGGTGAAGGAGCAAGTTAACACGTTGACAACCGTGTGGTATGATGTCATACCACACTCCTGCGACCGCGTGGGACCGTGTGACATGATGTCATGTCACAGCCCTTTTTAAGCTGGTTTTCAGACATTTCAGGTGGCCCGTTTAGGTGATGGGTACGTCATGCTTGGACACTGTTACAATACGCGTGGTCCCTGGAAAGAACCTTCGGTTAATAGTCTCTCGAGTTTTTGGAAAAACGTGTGAATAACAATCGGTAGCCGCACTTTTTGTGCTTAGACTTAAAGCAGTTGGTACGAAAAATGTTTGAAATAGTAATTTGCTACATGGACTTTCGGTAGGATAGGAAAAACATGCGCCCTCCTCCTGTCTTGCATAGTTGTAGCCGCTTCTGCGTGTTCTGTGAATGTTTCGCTGTGCCTTCCTTCCTCCTGTTCCGCAAATTTGCGAGTCTGTAAGTGGTTTCGACATGTAGGTCAGATTGCAACCCAACAATTGTTCTACAAGCTCGAGACACGGGACCAAAAAGTAACCCTAGGAAAATACTCTCCTACTCGCGCATTAGCTTTGACCCTTTTTACACGCTCTCATATTGCAATAATCGCTGAAATGGCCAAAATCGCAAAATCTGACACCTAACACACCAAAAGGATAAGATATAAACACTTGCCCAAAAAA